CTGAATGCAGAAGCTGCCCTCCGGTGGTCAGTGCGCTCTCACACGGGGGAGCTCTGCTCAGCCACAAGCTAGTCTAATGGCTGCCAGTACAGCAGTGGTGGTGGGAGCCTCTCCTGCCTCCTGAGCAGCACTAAGGATGTCTGACTGCAGTTTAGGCCTGCTCCCCGCTGGCAAGTGGACATCCCCCAAGGGCTGCCAGAGGGATGCCTGATTGGCAGCTTAGGCCCAATCCCCCATGGAGCAGGCCTAAGCCAGCGGGTGGTTATCCCCCGAGGGGTCCCAGACTGCAAGAGGGCACAGGCCAGGCAGAGGGACCTCCCCCAGAGTGCACAAATTTTTGTGCACTGAGCTTCTAGTAATATATAAAAAGCCAGGGACCATCACAACCTAAACTATTAGATGGACTACCGAACAGCAGGCTGCATGGGGTGACTAGGCCGGCAGGGGGATTAGTGAGAGACAACCAAATGACTGAACAGCAGGGTGTGTGGGGCAACCAGGACAGCAGGGGGTTGAGCTTCTAGTAATATATAAAAAGCCAGGGACCATCACAACCTAAACTATTAGATGGACTACCGAACAGCAGGCTGCATGGGGTGACTAGGCCGGCAGGGGGATTAGTGAGAGACAACCAAATGACTGAACAGCAGGCTGCGTGGGGCCGACCAGGTCAGCAGGGGGGGGCAGTAAGGGGCAACCAGGCTGGTGGGGAGATACATTTGGGGGGTACCAGGCCAGAAGGGAGGGCAGTTGGGGGTCACCAGGCTGGAAGAAAGGGGATGTTGGAGACAACCAGGCCATTAGGTTGGGGCAGTAAGGGGCGACCAGGCTGGTGAAGGTGGCAGTTGGGAGTGACCAAGCTGGCAGAGGGGGCAGTTTGGGGTGATCAGGCAGGCAGGTGAGGAGTTAGGAGCCAGCGGTCCCATATTGTAAGAGGGATGACCGACTGCCAGTTTGGACATCCCCCGAGGAGTCCCAGGTTGGAGAAGGTGCAGGCTGGGATGAGGGGACCCCCCATGCATGAATTTTGTGCACCAGGCCTCTAGTTAATAATAGGAAAGGAGCAAAGAAAAGGCCAGACATTATAGGCATGCTCCC